GACTATGTTATCAAACAATATAATTACAAATCAGCACAGGTGAGTAGATTTTATAATTAGAAATCAGCACAAGTAAGCAAACTTTGTACTTAGAAATTTACCTAGGTGGAAAAGACATAGATAGCGCTGGTACTTCATCCTCTAAAGGCATAATATAACTTTGAGCAGATTTTGTAGTCTTTGCCTTCTTGTTTCGTGGTCCTCTACATTGAGCAATAAGAGATTAGTAAGTGGGTTGTAGCAAATTATTTGATGCAGCAAAATATGAACACATTTCTTACCTCACAATCTTCATAGCTTCAATGTCAGCCGGGTTGCCTTTCTTGCAATTGTGCCAATGATGCCCATAGTCCAGGCAAATAGGACACTGGTGCTGGCCCTTTCTTTTTTTCTTATCAGTGCCACCTTTATGCCTCTCAGTTTTGGGCCTACCAGCTACGGGTGTCAATAGTGGGGGATGCATAAAAAACCCATGGGAAGATTTAGGCCATTGTGTCTTATCAATCATAGCAAGTATTAGTTGGGCATAGGCTGCTCTAAATTTTTCAATGGAGTAGTAAGAGTCCACATGCATCTCTATTTTACCATTAGCAAGAGCTGTGATGAATGCAAGAGCATGTTTGCATGGAAGACCAGAAACTTGCCACTCTCGACAAGAACAAGTTCTATCTTCCAAGTTAACCACAAATCTGAAGGCACTACCTCCTAGTGCAGTTATTTCAGCAACATGTGGTCCACATTCAAGCACTTCCAAGTTTAGTTCTCTACTCTTTTCATTAAGATCCTTGATTATGTGTGGCAGAATCAATCCATCTAGTTTCTGTCCAATCTTCCTCCTTTGATGCCACTTCGTCATAACCATTTGCCTCATCTTGTCCATCAAGTCATCTAAGTTCATGGATTTGTGAGGCTTGATCCAATTGTTGAAGCTCTCTGCCAAATTGTTTGTAACATAGTCAACTTTGCATATGGTCAAGAACTGACTCCTAGTCCACAACTTTTTGTGGCATTGCCTTAGATAATCTGTTGCGGCTAGCCTAGCCACCTCCATTGTTGCCCAATGTTTCTCAAATAAATAGGAGTTCCACGAGTATGCTGCAGCCCAAAGATGGTCATCAAATACCTTCCCACGGAATTTCTTCTTGAAGTTTGACACCAAGTGAAACATGCATTCTCTATGTTCAGCTTGTGGAAACACTTCTGCTACCCCTGCCATCACAGCCTGTCCAACATCAGTTTTGGTCTACTTCTCTCTGTATTATACTCAAACTCATTTTTGATTGCATGATGCGAAAGAGCCAACTTAAACTCTGCCATATTGGGATACATACCGCCTACTGTCATCGGAGAGTCTTCTTTGTCATATTCCACATGCGGGCCATGATTTGGATCTTTTTGCATCTCATCTTCTGTCATCTCATTCTCTGTGTTCACTACCAGATTGTGCCTTATCTTCAGTTAATGGAACAGAGGTCTTCTCCTTCCCTTTATCAGAAGGGACAGCTACCACACGGTCTTCCTTTAAGTACATACCCTCCTCATCCACACCAACATGCTCATTGTTTGGTAATGGATACATGAGATAGGTATCCAACTCTTGTTCTATGTCATCCTTATGTTGTGCTTCTCCTTCAAATTGTCATTCAGTGATAGGCTTGTAAGGTTTAGATGGATCACAATAAGCAATGAATATCTCGATGACATTTTCCTTATGTTTACTGAACAGTACCATCAGTTCTTGGTCTGACGTTACTTCTGGAAAAGTTTTTAACTCAGCATCATAGTATTGCACATGTGAAACTTCCAAGTACCCCGGAGGATACTGTTGAACAATGGATTCAACAAGGTCCATATAATTTGTGAAATCAGCATCCACAACCTTCTCCAAGGAAAAACATCTCACATCCTTTCTACTTTTCTTTGGATTGCCAAGAAGGTGAATTTTGAGCAAGTAACTTGTATCTGTATCCATTTTGTGTATCCAAACAACAAAACATGAGTTGATAAATAGGAGTAATAACCTGGAGGATCAGATGGCTCTAGAGGAAGTAAGCTAACTAGTACCCACAAATTCAGTGTACAAGCTAACAAAGGCTGTCACTGTTACTTTCCAAACAACAAAGCATGTCTTTCTTCAGGTTTTAGGGGATAAACCCAAGTTGTAGTTCAATGCAGCATATGTTAAATTATAATGCAATCATATTCATGTGGTAGCATACTATATAAGCCAATCAGTTCCCATCTGTCAAGAACAGTTAGTGGTTAAGCAATGCGCTACAAATTAGGCAATAAGCTAGCAAGTTTGTTATAGGGCAATCACTGCAGTGTTAGATTCTATGAGAGACGCTCACGGGCACGTGTGCAGCAAGGTGTGATGTGTATCTTGCTGCCAGAGGAGGACACTAGAGTTTTTCCCCCCTCGAACAGGCACAAGAATTGCGTATCATTTCATTAATAATAGGTGGAAAAAGAACCCGCTTACACGCAGGAAGACATTGGAATTTTACAGTACATTTTCAAACATTATTTAACAAAACCTGAAACAGAGCTATAGTTCCGAATGGCACGACATATCCTTCAACGAAAGGGCTGCAGCCCTGTACCAAGCAGCAGCAGCCATGGCCCCAGGATCAGGAGCCGATGCCAGCTTGTCAACAGCAATGTAGGATGATCTACCAGCCTGAAATATGATTTTACGAATGGCACGACATGTTCTTCAACAAAAGGGCTGCAGCCCTGTACCAAGCAGCAGCTAGAATTTTTGAATTAACAAACATATCGCTTGCTACATCAGCCAGAATTTCTATCAAAAAACTTCACCTGTAAAACCTGGTACACATTTTTTCTCAGACCATGAATCCTAATCCTAACAGAGTAAAAGGTAGTAAGGTTATCGCGTTCCACCAAATGAGTGGCAACCGCCAATGCACAAAATCTGAATAGAAAGTGCTCAACATAAAAATGCATTTTTGTAGGCACACAATTCGCGCTTCCATTCCAAAACGTACGAAATCGATGAAAGGAAGAGCCGCAGTACTCACTCTTCGGTGGCAGTGGAGCCTTATCCACGATGGGCTCCGGCATCGCAAGCCACGTCGTGGTGACAGCGGCCGCCTCCCGCGCCGTTGGACGAGTCGGCCGTTGCGCCACTGGGACTGCTGCTTGGGGAGGCCGCCATGCCCAGTCCGCCGCGCGGTCTGGCCGGTGCTCCGGTGGGCGAGCTCGCCCCGCCGCGGCCTGCACCCCGCGTCGTCAGGCGAGGCCACCCCGCCACGCCACGAGCTGCCACCAATGCCCCCCCCCCCAGCGCGCACCTCGCGCCGCGAGATGGGGCCAGCGCCGGTCGGCGAGCCCGCCCTGCCGCCGCGTTCCCTGCCGGACCCGCGCCTCGATCTGTGACCATGGGGCGAGCTTGGCTGACTGTGGGGTGCCTCGAGCTGGGGGACCCGCCCCGCGAGTTCCTGGGCACCGGCGGCCGGCGCCTCCTTTTCCCCATCCTCATCTCCTCCGACCTCCATTCTCTCTAGGGTTTTGGTTTGAGAGGTTTCGTGTCTCTTGTTTCTCTTTCAGAACAGAGGAGAGACGGGAGAGAGGAGCTCGGGGGAGAAGGGGAGACGGACGGACGCATGAGACCGAGGGCATTTTGGTACTTCTAATGAAAAGCTGACATGGTCTTCCCAGTCAACTAACGGAGGGATGCCTGAAATGGACGGAAGTGCTATATACGGAAGGAATTTTCAAGTTGATGCTAGATAAGGAAGTTCAAAATTTCCAGTGCCAAATACGAAAGAGTGATTTGTTTCAGTGCCAAATAAAGAATTCTCTCTATAAGATTCCTCACTGAATCTTGTTTTTGCCTAGGTTTCTGTCTCTTAAAATTGGCTTGTCTAAGAATACTATAATTTAGAATATAATATCATCTGGATGCCCTTTTTTTACTTTATAAACAGGCTGGTGTGCTTTACCATCTTCATCACCAAGAATTTGTATGCTGTAAGCTTTTTAGCTTCCTTTTGGTTGTTGTAGGTTTATGCCATTATATTTTAGGCCCCCTGAACCCTCAGAATCTAGCACATCCTGAATAGTCAATTCTGGTATCAGATTCTAACATTATTCTATGTTTCGAACCTTCGATGGCTGGTTATCGACTTTGGTGGAGATGTGAGAAGTGCGATACTAATCAATGATTCAAGATGAAACAAACCCAATGAAATCGTGAAGTCCAAGAACCTTTTCTGTAGGTTAGGTCATTCAGGTATGCAGTAAACTTTTATCCTTGCATATCAGCGCAGCACTTAAATTGGTTGGTAAATCCATTGAATTGCATGAGATGCTTAGCTGAAGAAATGTCATTGCTTAGATGCTCAGAAAGTCAGAATCAAATGTCTGATCTAGGAGTTGTTGGGGGCATGGTTATCAATGGCGTAATTTTCAGATAAGCTGGGTTCTGGTCCTTCTGGATGTACACCGGCTTTGATGAAGTTTTCAGTACTGTCCCAGGAAGAGTGACAAGTGGCGCATGACTTGGTCAAGCATGGAATGGGCTCGAGATGGGTGGAGCGTCTGGAATGGTATTTGTAGGGTTTGTACAGAACTTGGTGGCTAGAGATTTGTCTAGTGCACCAGTGGAATGAAAATTCACTTTCATTTATTTAGAAAATAGCCAAACCATTGTATATTATTACTTCCTCCTATCGTAATACAAGTCCATCTCAATTTGTCCTAAGTTAAACGTTGTTAACTTTGCCCATCAAACAATCAATATCTGAAACTTTATATAGATTGAATTGATTGTACAACATTTCTCAGGCAATGAGTTGCCGAAGAAAATCTGTATTGAAAAATACTGATGGTACAAACAGTCACCCCAGAATCCGTTGTATTGTCAGCAAAAGTTATCTTACATCGGCAAGTTACAATCTTACAAAGTTAGTGCCTCAAACTACTTCGCTACGTCCTATGCAAGCAAACTGTACAAGGCTCAATAAAAACACGAGATCTTATTGTTTGTTCACGTCACCCAAGTATCTAAAAGACAAGGCAGCACCAAAGTTCCTCCGCTCCTCCTCGAAGTCATCGTTCATGTCGTCGCTGGAGATGGACTCTGGATGAACCGTTGAAATAGCTGGGCACGATTCATGGATGCCTTTGGCTTTGCAGTCTTTGGTCGCGAGCATCTTCACCTGCCCAGCATGGGAGATCTCTACCACGACTTTGCCATCATCCGTGGGAAGAGGCTGCTTCCAGGGCTCCCCATCCATTCTCATGTAAGCATGATCAATTGCGCCTCTGAGGAACTCGAATCGAACACGGTGAGCCTGATCATGAAAAGACGAAAGAATTTTATTGCTCACGAACTAGTTTTCTTTGAATTGAAGGTCGAATCTCCGGAAGCAGAGTGGTTTTATTTTGACTGGGCTTTAAATTGTTTAATCCTTCTGCTTGCCTAGTTGAAATTGCATTTGAATTGGGCCTGGCCCTAACTAGTATTACTTAGATCCATCTATCCACTGATAGTAATGCATGTGGCATGTGGGGAGTGGATGGGGGAAAATACAGCAAGTAATGATCCAGTATGTAGATGGGAGAAAATACAGCAAGTAATGATCCAGTATGCAGTTGCAAACCTGAGCAAGGCGAGTTCCATGGCCTTTTGGAGATAGCAAGACAAGGCCATGCCAAGCATCTTTGAAACCCACAATCTCCAGAAGACCATCATCCACAAGTGGAGGCATTACCAAGTCTCTCTGCAATAGTATAATTCACATGAGAGAATCAAATAGGAAATTTAAAAATACCCTCCTAAACATAATTTTCCTTTGTGGAATAAATCGAGTTCAATAGTAGAAAAAAGGTAGTGTACAGGGAATATCATTAGCATAAAGCTTAAACTCACTTTTCTTTGCTTCCTCTTACTTGGTGTTCCCCAAGGGTTTAGTCCACCAGAGAAGCTGGGCAAATTGAGACAAACAATGGACCGAATACTGCATTGGTGTAAGAAACTTGGTAAGAACATTATATATACCCAATTTTGAAGCATTAGTCTGACATCATGTCACAAACATCTGAAAATAATATAAGCACCTAGTGCTTCCACTGTGATGTGTGCTAACTAGAAAGATGGTTCAGAAGGAAAACATGAGGATTATATGCTTCAATATTGTCTATATGCTATAAGTGAAACTTCAAAGTTTCATCAACGCAAAGATGAGTACATAACATCCAAAACTCTTTGATATGCTCACGGTTTATTTATACTTTTTTTAAAATATAGAAGGGCAGGCCTGGTGCAGTGGTGAGAGCTGTCTCACCGAGTCACTAGGTCATGGGTTCGAAGCAGCCTCTCCGTAGATTTTGCGGGGGAAAGGCTTGTCTCGGTTTATCCCTTCCCCAGACCCCACTCATGTGGGAGCCTCCGGCACTGGGTCTGCCCTTTTTTATAGAGTTGGCCAAAATCACTTTAGAGGAGTTTCTACAGATTGATTTACATTTATGACTGTGAGTCATGAGTTATGTGTGTTTATGATATGAGTATTTTTCGCTTACTTCGCTTCATTATATGTTAATTTTACATGTAATTTCTAGATTAGCGGATTGAGTTGACCTGTAGTAGTCATTTATTTGGTATCGGACCAGACATATTGGCACCTGGCTAGTTGGTAATTGATATAGACAAGAAAGAGCACAGAAGGCTTACCTTTGTGGAATTTCCATGGTTTCCCATTTTCCAGATTTCTTCATTATCTTCACTTTCGCAAGGCAAGCAATGTTCCTGGGGCCAGTGAAAAAAATGCCAAAAGTGATGTGAGCCGACTACAATGTTATCAACAAGCCATGATTTTTTAAAAAATAAATAGAATAAATACCAAATTTCTGAATTGTAACTTGTGACAAATATTCCTTTTCACGACAGAAGACAGATCCACAGCCAAGTTAGTGCCACCAGGAGAATTACCGTGACATTGGATGAAACAGAGAGGTACAAAACCATCCTTGTGTACATGCCAGCTTCAAATATGTTTTCTGCAGTACAGAATAGCAAAGAGATTGGTTTATGTACTGCTAAACGTATACGTAAATCATAAATGAGAATCAATTATAAGGAATGACCAGCACTAAGAAAATAAATAAAGCACACCAGCTTATTTCACCTGATTGGACAACTGATTCTTGAACTTCTCTGGATGCAGTTTCCTCTCAGAATGAAACGCATAAGACACTTGGGCATCCATTCCTGCGACGGAAAAAGAATCTCTTTCAAACTGCCATTTTAGCTAAGGAGAAAAGTTTCTTCTTTCCATTTTATTAAAAAAAATCAACAAAAGGTATTGAGCCACAACTTAAAGCATACATCTTTTTGGAACAAGGAACTTACCCATACTGAAGTAATTCCAAAATCCCCCGCGAAATGTGTAAGAATACTCCTGGGAACACGCAGATAAAAAGATTATACAGAAAACATGGCATAGCATAGCATAGTTCAAATTGTTTGTTTTCAAATAATATTGTTGACAATTAGTTCAACTTTTCTCACAATCATTTTTACAAGAATTTTCTCTTATGTGATAACTGACATTTAAGAAATTCAAACAGTGGAGAGAAAAACACATTGCACAAAATAAGTATCTACTTCAAAATACATTATGTGCTATTCAATAAGTTGAAAAGGTTAATTAATCCTTATGTTCTACTCAACAAGTTGAAAAGATCCCAACTAAATATTTGAAGTTCAAGTAATGGAGTATATATAGAATAGCACAAGACTACAAGCAAGGCGTGTTTGAGCAATGGTTGTTCTTGATGCATGATATGTACCATTCACTTTTGTTATAATTCAAGATATTATCTACTCCCTCCATTCTAAATTGTAAGTCATTTTAGATATGTCCTAAGTCAAACTTGTCTAACTTTGGCCAAGTGTATAGAAAAATATATTAGCATCTACAATATCAGATAAATACACTATCAAAATATTAAGGCCCCGTTTGGTAGGGCTTCACTTCACTAGTGAAGCCATTTTTTTTTGCTTTAGCTCCACGAACAGTTCCACCGGTGGAGCTGAAGCGGTTTTGGTAAACCGTTTGGCAAAATGGCTTCCCTGTGAGAGCATGTTTTTAGGGGCCTGGAGGAGGAGCCGGGAGAAGCCACTTTTTTTGGCTCCATCCCATCCCAAATCATTGTGAGAGCATGTTTTTAGGGGCTTCACCAGTGAAGCTATTTCACTTTACCCCGTTTGGCAGAAAACGGCTCCAAACGGCTCCTGAAGCTGGTGGAGAAGCCCTGCCAAATGGGGCCTTAATAGTTTATCTAATGAATCTAGTTTGATGTTGTAGATGTTTGTACATTTTTTTTATAAACTTCATCAAAGTTAAAGAAGTTTGACTTAGGAGAAAGCTAAAATGACTTACAATTTGAAACGGAGAGAGTAATATATATCAACATGTAATTCAAATATAGAAAAGTTGATGGATCATATTCTTACGAAGGAGAAAGCGGGAAACAACAGCCATGTCCAAAAAGAAAGGCAAAGGTAGATAAATGCAGTAACTATGCTAACACTAAGGAAAAGAAATGGTAATGTCCAGCATTGTTACCATATCTTGTGGATCTGTCTTGGGCACACGGCAAAATGCATGCAAAGAATGAGGCAAGTCAGGAGGTGCAATTGGATCACAAGGAGAATCTTTTGGGCCCTCCATTCTCATGACAATGTGCCAGCTGAATTCTTGTAATGATTCCAATATTAGTCAAGACCCACATACCATATGAAGATTTCATACAGAAAGATAGTGAAGGCTGTAAAAAGTAAACCCACCTGTCAATGTTCATCTCTCTTGATTCCCTTACTAATTGAAGAAATGATATGACCGAATCATGATCTGTTCCAGGATTTTTCTTTCCCTGCATAGTAATTGTTTGATATTATGGGCCACCAATCACATAAAGTGTTCCTTAGCAGCTAACAGCCTAACACGAAAGCTAGCTCCACACAAGGCAATGTAAAGAGGAGTTTACTACCCAAAATTCTCTAGACTTAACCAGAAAAGCTACTAAAGTTAAAAAAAATTGCAATGTAAGGAGAAAAGGACTACAAAATATTTGGCCTTTGCATAAGGCTGAAAGCATTAAAGATCTTATCATCAAGTATATATCAAAGGCTTAAAGCAGATCTATGCAAGTACTGCAGTAAAGATTGTCTAATAGGAAGAAAAGGATTGTTTTGATTTTTAAACTCACCCATCCAAAAGAATAAGGCAAGTTATTTCCAGTTCCCAGTGGAACTGTAGCAACAGGAGGTGGACGTACTAACTTAAGATCAGATACAACTCCAAGCAACCAACCTGCCGTTCCATCACCTCCAGCAACCTGATTGGATTTCCATGATAAAATAGACGCATGTTAGGACTATTCAAATAAACAAACATACAAAATATTGGTAAAAATATTAGCAGGAGATCTTGGATCGAATATGAAATTGCCAGATTGCACTCACTATTAGCCTTAGTCTCCTATAGACTTCAGAAGCAAGAGTGTCACCACCATGCTTGAGCCTTTCCAGGTTGCTGTATAGTCTGAGCAAGACCTTGTCTGGAGCTTCATCAAGCAGATCAAATACCTGAATTTTACATAATTACATGGTTAGGCCTAGCCACAAAACCATAATTTCATTTACTGCAGTAAAAAATGCAAGATCAATGTGGTACCAAACAAGTATATCTGCAAAAAATAGACAATATCTACCTGGGCATGGTTGAGAAGCTTACGGTATGTGACAATTAACTCACGTCCCAGTTGACCTCCACTTTTGGTGTTGATAAAAACAACCACTGGACAAGTAGGTATCTGAGATGCTTGCTCCACTGGAGACTCCGGTACGAAAATATAAGTTGGGATATAGAACTCTTTCAACATGTTATTTTTCTCAACGTTGTTCTCCATTTAAGTCTGCAACCTGCAATATTAATGATATGTTACTTAGATGGTTAAACACTGTAAGGCTAGACATTCTAATGTGTGCTCTGAAGCTCTGACTATGTTCTTTCACTGGCAAAAGGCAAATGCAGTACAGCATTTTTGGCAAAGGGTGTGATTCCATTCTATTCCAAGTAAGTGAAACGGCTTCAAATGGGATCATAAACAAAACCAGGTGAAGCTGAAAGAGGTTGATGGTTAGCTGCTTTAGAAAGATTCTTGCTCATGACGTCCATCCCTTCTCAAGTGCGTGGAAACAGATGCCAGTCGCTATCAGTCTGACATAAGGCTTACTACTCCTACCAATTACGTAAAAATGAATTACTGCTGTTGCTAATTTGCCAATAAATCACCTCACCTGCCAGCAGCCTAGAACAATCCAAAACAGGTAGCCATTATTTTGATTGCTTTTGTAGAAAAAAAGTAGCCATAAATGACCACGAATCATTTCTTTTGAAATAAGGCCCGAGTAATTTGAAATCATTCAAAGCGCCCAAACTGAAGTCACCAATCAATCAAGTTAAATTCAGTAATCAGACCTAGATGCACTCACTGATCATGGCAACCTAGAAACTAAAAACTGATCAAACTAAATGACACACCACAGGTAGAGAAACAGAACCGACACCAACAGTAGGAATCCAAAAACAAACCGTGACGAGATTGTGGAGCTTGGAACACTACAACAAGCGAAAAAAATGCATGCCACGCCACTCAGCTAGAATCAAATCGTTGTAGAAGAACGCAGCGGAAACCCCCAGCCTCACAGGCCGATCAGAAGCACTCCAATCTGCAGAGCTATTCTGGACTTTAAACAACAACAGGGGAAAGAAAGAAGTTTTGCAGAAGTGCGCAAAACTCCCCCGCTCGCAATTACCGCATAAACCAGGATTCGAAACCCCATAAGAGAGAGATTAAAAACAGAGGAATAGCTTAGGGATCGCACGCGCGCGTACCTGGAAGGCTAGGGAGAATCCGAATCGCTTGTGGGCGGATGGCGCAAAGGCCGAAAAGCAGGAGCGCCGCTTTGGTGGTCGGTTGGAGGCGAGCCGCGAGCGGAGGAAAGGAATTGGAATGGGATGGGATGGGAGGGATTCCCTCGCCTGCGCGTTTTGTTGTGTGTCCTTGTGTGCCGAGCTCGAGGAGGGAGGGAGGGAGGGAGGGGGCAGGTTGAAAAAACAGCCGGTGAGACGGGCAGGTTTATAAGCGGCCGCCAGCCAGGCGGGCCGCGGCGCTTGGTCCACGTGCGGCGCCGACGCGTGGCCTCTATTCCCGGCCCACCGGGCGGGCCCAACAGAATGATACCGGTGCGGTGCGGGACCGTTGGAACCTGGTCGGTTAACTTTACTTTAGTAGGTTTGGTTGGACGAGTACTCTTCTTCTTCTTGGGACGGCTGAAACGGTTGCCGTGTCTGACGTGTGGCCCTGGGGAGAGGTGGTGCCTCCGTTCAGGTTCGTGGAGTCGGGATGCTGACCTTTTTTCTTCTGCCTTTTACGTTGGGGTGGTTCGATTCGCGCCGCCCGCGGACGGAGTATTCGTTTGTTTGTCCTTCGGCTTTGGCTGGAGCCGACGGGAAACGGAAACCCGCCACGGGACACCCGCCCGGCTGGGGGCCTCGCGAGCTAGTCCGCGACACTTCAGCAGCGCGCAGCGGGCTCCTCCTCGTGCGCCGTTTCTTTTTCAGCGATCACGGCGCCGTGGTGGTGGGTGCGCCGTTGCTCGGACCGGGAATCTTGACAGGTGATTTGCCGGTAGCTAGCTCCACGTGACCTGTACTTGGGTGTGTACTCGTTTCTGGATTTCAAGCGTTGCGAAAAGGTGTTGTGTGTACTCTCAGTTTGGCAATCAAGATCAGACTTTCGGGGGCGGAAGATCGAATCTCGTAGTAGAATGAAATTGGTGGTTTGACTGTTTGAGCATTCCGTGCGTAGAAAAATCACCGTGGCCGGGAAATTAAAGACACAGCTGATGTCACTTTTCTCTCAAGCGGCTGCATTCGTCGTTGCATATACTTGCATGTGCATGGTACGATAAGCACCCAACAACGTACAACTGCCGCCACCTTTTTACCATAGACGAAATAAACAAGCAACCGCACCGTGGTCATAGACTCGTGGGTCTCGATTATGCCGAAATTATCCACGAGCAGAAGACCTTGGGGACATTAGTGGTTTTTTTATTCGAATACGCAAAAAATTTGCGTATCATTGTATTAAGGAGAAGAGTTTAAAGAAACATACAACGTGTTTCTATCGAGCGCCAAACGAGGTCGACCTAACACAGCCGAAGCTGGGACATTAGTGGTGGTCTCATGCATCAAAAGAAAGGGGACAGAGCAATTCTTATTCGCGAGCTAGGTGTATAGCAGCACACCGAATTTGTGCTGGAGGTGCCCTTGTTTACAAGCATGAAGAGATTCCTGACGATGTGACGGAAGCATCAAGCATCTCCTCTTTTCTTTTCCCGTGCTGACCTGGTGCTTACATAGAAAGGGATCGGAATGTTCAAATCAAAGATATAGCATGTGTTGTTTAGCTGAAAGGTGGTGCCGAAAGTTCTTGCCCACAGTGTGGAGCCATTTGCGATTTGCGATAGGGCTTGGTGTGCGGCGGATGCCCCAGCCCGGCCGGTCGAGGGCATGTATTCCAGAGCTAGATGCGGCGGTTGACGACACGGCAGCCTACGACGGGTTTTATTGTCCATCAGTCGACGGTTGGACTGCTTGTCTTTGCAATTCAGTTGCTATAGGACATGTTTAACATAAACATACACATGTTCCCTCCTATAAGTGTTTCTATTCGCTCCTATGAACGATTCAAGGAGCCGACATTGGATATTAAGATTAATGAAGTTGCCATGAATCTCGCTGTTGATGGACACATATCACCTGCTAAGTCGTCCAAACCTGCACATCCATGCTGAGTTAGAGATTTGAACCTAGACGATCAATTTTCAATACAAGGAATCAGATTTCACCATACTGGCTTAACATTGTGGAATGGCTTTATAATCTTTAGCTGATACAAACAGACTACTTGTGGAAGCAGCTTCCACAGTTTACATGCTTACAGCTATCTTTTCACAATTCCAAAATCTAGCCCTCGTATATAATCATACAAACAATACCCAACTTTTACAGTATCTAGCTAATCTTAATGGTTCTATCTTGCTGGTTTCTGAATGTATAGTGTGCGCTAGATTTAACCCAATTACTCAAAAGTGGCTAACCCGAGGTTTTGGGCTGGCTGGGCAGTTTATTCCGCAATCTCATTTGGACCTAGTGTAATGGGCCTATACCAGGACTAAGGCCCCATACAAATCAGGTCCACTAAAGGCATTTTCTCTTTTAGAATTCTGGATACATCAGGTTTTGGTGAGTTTCCTTGTTCAATCGCTGAGAATAAAGTCGACTTAGGAGTATGTTTTTTTAATTGTGATGCTTCTTCGTCTGTTGTGATGCTTCTTCGTCTGTTGGGAATCCAAATTTATTTCAAAATAATAATATTTATCATACCTCATTAGATTCTTCATTAGTTATATTTTTATATTTGTCATCAATCTACTCCTAAGTCCTACATTTGGGAAGGAGTTCAGAGGAGAGAGAGGAGCGAGAGCGGCATGGGCTAGGCCTGTGCAAAGATCTAGACTCCTTACCAATCAGGTCCACAGAAGGCATGTGGATAGATCATGGCCGGCTCACCAAGAAACTGAACATAACAGTTTTTTTACCAGACTAGAAATGGAAGCGCGCTTCGCGGCGCTCTACCAATGCCTCATTAGAGCTCAATTTAAGATTGTAAGGAAGTAGTACAAAAATATATGGAGGAACTCATAAAAACACATGATATTGATAACACTAATTGCATGGTCTATCCATATAATTTACATGAAGACTTGAATTGATTACTACATAGACTGTTTTCCCAGTAGTTTAGAACGCTGGTACAAATTTGCATCCAAAATACTAAATGGGTTACTGATGGTAATAACGAAAAGAGGCAGCCTGTTCACCCAGATATCCGGTTGACTAAAATAGTAGCAAGTTCCTTCAACGCCACAGGTAAAGAGTGGCCTAGGAAGTTCCTGTTCGCAGATGTTTGGTAGTTTTTCGCCATGCTTAGACGGGCTCTAAAATTCTCTGATGGGAGTAAATTCAGGTTCGCACCTTTCTATGGAGTGACCTGCATAGTACATGCAAGTGCCATAGAAATTTAGACATCTGTACACGTACATCATTTGCACTAGCAGAAAGATCAACTGATAAAGAAAACAGAGCAAGCTTGTCTGATTATTCGGTTCTGCAGCCAGTGGGTAGTGGTTGCACTAGTTATATATAAACATATCAAATCAAATAAAACAACTAAACATGTGAAGCATATCACTGCTTATTACATTCTCGTATTTCACTATTAAGCAATTTGGACCAAATAGTAATGTAGAATAAGCCTCACTGGACTCGCCAGCTGCTGAGATCCTCAGTTTCCTCACGCGCCAAGGCCGGGGGATCTCCAAGAAACCCGCGACGTGCCCCCGCGACGTGGCACTTCCTCATGGACTGATGGACCATCTGAGGCTGGGCTCCCCTCCACCACCACACCATGCCAGCGGTGATGGACTAGCAGCGGAGAGAGAGATGAGAGCTGAGAAAGGGAAAGGAGATGGGTGAGAGAGATAAGAGAAAGGGAGAGGGAGTCGTGCGGTGCTCACGGCTTACGCTGTCTCCAACAGCGCGGCGGCAAAGGGTGACCTAAACGCAAAACACATCGTGCACAGTGTTTTGCGTCCTAAAAACACGCTCCAACAGAGGACGCAAATAAGACAACCATTTTACGTAGCAGGCGAAGGGAAAAAAAAAGCGCCGTCTCTTTCGGACGACAAAAAACACACAGTGAACGGCGGCGCGGCGGTGCCGCCGCTCTTTGGAGCAGCCTCCTAGCAGCGGAGAGAGATATGGGAAGAGAACAGCGGCGGTAAGAAAGGCGGGGAAAGGAGATGGGTGAGAGAGAGAGAGAGAGAGAGAGAGAGAGAGAGAGAGGCGCCGCCTGCCGCCCGCTGGGAGAGGGAATCGTGCGGTGCTCACGAGAGATAGCATGCCCCATGACCCATCGTCGAGACCACGACGCCTCACGGTAAGATTTTTTTCTACAATCTGAGAGACAGGTCCCGTCCTCAGATTTGCCGTGATCCTTTCGTGGGTCCACGCGCCCCAGGGACCATTGGGAGACAGTCTTAGTGAAAATTCACGACGCCTCGCTTTGCACCCGACAGGGAGGCTGGGGGTGAAAATTGTTTTGCACCGACAGGTGTTGGGCCCGAGGTGTTGGGCCTGTTGGCTCACACTCCCTGAACCAGAGCCCCCTCTCTGCATGTGGGCTCTCGCTATACTATGATCCATCCGTCATATTGGAAATTCGCTTGCAGCACAACGCAAATGCGACGCACGACGAGGCGCGTGCTCGGACACTGATACACGCTGCGCTGCTACGTGTCGATACGACAGGTACCCCGCGAATCCGTGAAGCGCGGAGGGAGCTCCAATTCGCGGTAGGTTTTAAGATCTCTGATTCCAGTCACTTTCAGTGATGTATATAGGCCGTAATTAAACTTATCAATAGCTGATAAGGAAAAAAAGAAATGTATCAGTAGCAACTAACAAGCATACAAACTTTCAGCAATGTAACTACTGAACAGCATCACAAAAGGAATGGCACTTGCTACCACGACAGGGTTCTAAGGAACAGATAGCAGATTCCGCATCTTGATTCCTGGCCGGCAAGTTGTTAACTTTGGGCTTTGAACAACATATCCCATCTCATTGCTTCAAGCCTTCCGCCATCCAGCTGTTAATATTTACAAAAGCACAACCTTACTTGGGGTTGGGGAGCAATAACTCAGGCAACACCAATGTGTTCTTCAGTGTCATCAATCCTTGCACCGCAGCACTCCCTCCTTTTCATTGTAACTTTGCTTCTATACAGACTTGAACTGTAGATCTTGACCTTCCTCTCTTCTGGAGTCACAGAACCATTTCGCCTTCTCTTTGGTGTTAACTTATTATCATTATCCCCACCCTTGTTTTTTATGGGCGTCCTGTCATCATTAACATTACTGTCTAAACAAAGATGTCTGAAGTGGTGACGAGGATTCACATAGCAGAACGATGAGCTGACGATTCCTATGACTGTTGATGGACGCGCTGTATGCATAAAATCCTCCAGCTCTGAAAAGCAAGCATGCCCAGAATATGGCAAAGCGTAAGAATCCTTGTCAAACAGCTTCAGTGGTGACAAGGGATTGTAGTCCATTTCTGTTAGGCCTTCACCTCTCCCTAAGCACTTGATAGACTTCACTGATGATCTACCTTTGGATTTGACCTTTCCTTTGCTGCTCTTCCAAAGCCAAGGAATACCAGAAGGCATGATCCCTATAGTGGGGCACACTGTGTTTAGAGCTTCAAGATTATCAATGGTGACACTGTACCTTGGAACAGCACGGATCCTAGTAAAACTCGTCTGTGTGGTAAAAATCTCGTGGTTTTCGTCAATCCCTAGAAGGTGTATTGTCAGTAGGCGCTGGGGCCAAACCCAAATCTGATGAGAAAATTGAAGGAAAACATTCTGGGCTTAGGAAGCTGGACGTGTAATATTTAGAAAATTAGTTAAACTAGCAGTTAGCATATCAATTGTTTGCAGCTCAACTTAGTTATAGCCTGCATATACTAATCTGAAAAGCAAGTTAATGTTGAAACACAGAGCATCAGCCATGGCTACTTTAGTTGTTTCTCAAAAGAAATTAGTCATCATCACTCATCAATGTTCTGTCAAGACTAAAGGGTATAAAATGGAGTATGTTGAGAAAAGAAGTCTATAACCTTCGTCTGTAGAGCTCTAGATATATGAAGTAAGAGGTCTTCTTTTCCAAGAGTGTCAACACCAATGATAACTTCATGATCAGGATGTGCCCGAATAATATCAACCATCTGCATTTCAAAAATAAGAAACATAAGCACCGACAATCACAGATTGATGAACTACATTGATGTCTATTTTGGCTAGTTCAGTACATTCAACACATGAAACATAAGCATAGACAATATGTTTACATGTTGCTATTGACATTTTATTGCAGGCTGTTCACAGTGGCAGCACTAGTAGGACAGCAATCCCAATCCATACTCATTTACTGTAGGCATGATGGCTACTGCAACTTAAGCAACCAATATGTGCACATTAGATTTCACTTGTCATTCAGCAACAAAAAACTATGCTAGACTGTTTTTTCAAGGAAACACTAATTATTAGTTGTGTCATGAGTCAAGATGCATGCTCAAGGTGAACCAAGAGATTCAAACAAAATTAAACTGTAACAATATCCCATTGACAACTCACGATACGCTCTACAATGTGCACGGAAGGAGGTATGGGCGCTCTTTGACGCTCCAGCACCCGCGCCACTCCGCCGCCGCCGGCCTGTGCCAGCACCCACGCCGCGCCGCTCGCATGTGCTGCCTGCGGGCCGCCCGGGGCGTGCCCACGCGTGCTGCCTGCTCGCCGCGTGCGGGCCACCCCGCGTCGTCTCCATCCACCCTGCCGCTAAGGAAGCCGACGTCCCCAAGATCTGCCGCCGGAGGAGCCCGCGACGGAGGCCTAGGTGGAGGATCTAGCGACCATGGAGCCGGAATAGCCTACAACAGCGTCAACTGACACCAGTTGCCGCCTCCTCTGTCGCGCCACCCACTCCCTTGGCGGGGTTCGCCTGGGCCGATGCCCTCTGCGTCGCCGGGGACAACGGGCGTGGCCACGAGCCCGACCTAGCCACGATGTGAGCTCCTGGTTCGTGGACGTTGCTCGCGGGCGCTGCTTGCCAGCCGGCCGCGGGGAAGCTCCGCACTGGGGAAACTCGTCGCCGCTGGAAAGCTGGCTGCGGGGGAGGAGCTGCGTTAAGTAGTCGTCCACCTGCCTCGCCGCCGACGCTAGTCCCAACCCTGGCAAGGCCGTTGCCAAGCCGATGTCGGCCATGGCCACCAAGCCCACGAACGAAGATCAAGACCGTGCTGCTCAAGCCTCCATCCCCGTCATGCTCGACCCACCATCGCTCCGGCCTCACGCGTCATCGCCGTCACCGGAAGCCTCCGCCTCCACATTCCGCTTCGGATCGATGCCCCCTGCTGTGGATCCACCTTCTCCCAACAACATCCACCACTCGGAGCCCGATTCCAGCAACCATTTGGAGCTCGATTCCGACGATGAGGATGTGGATGAGGTCCTGTTGGTGGACTCGCCACCACTGCTTCCTCGTCCTGGTGGATCCTGGGCGCATTCATCGTCGCCGCCTCTTGACGCACCAATGCTGGAACAGTCACCTCCCAACAGTTGCAACTTCGACCACCGGCGATCCATCCCCAACTTGTCGACGACTAATCTGCACAGCTCCGTGGACACTCCACCGCCGCCGCCGCCGCCACTCAATCAACGTCGGCCACAGCCTGACGGTGACCTAGTAGTGCCTCCAACGCCCGAGTCAGAGCCCAAGACAAGCCTTACCTACGCCGATATCGTGAAGCTTTCTTCATCGGGCAAAAATCATCACTAGCAGCCGTAGGGCCACAAGCTTAAATCAATTATCATAGATCCTGCTCGCCGTGAAGTTCCTCCCCGTCGTGCAGGTCTTCGAGTTCGCTTCGCTGACAGCCCTTCGTACTCTGCTTCTTCAAGCATCAAGTCATCTAGGAACACCTGGTGGAGAAAGGTTGAGTATCCACGGGAGGAGCTGCGCCACTCACCAATCCATCCAAGTTGCAAAGATGGGAGCACGACTCGTCTCTCTCCCCGCATTCGAAAGATCATTGAAGGCCGCTGCTTCATTTGCCTTGCACGAGGTCACTGGGCTGCCACTTGCCGAGAGCCCATCACCTGCTTCCAGTGCCACCGCTCGAGCCATCGTGAGCAGGATTGTCGTCAGCGTCACCAACATCCCCATCAATCGGCCATGCCTTGTCATCCACCTCTGCCGCAAGGTCTTCCACGGGAGGAACAATCATCAGGTCACCAGAATAATTGTCGCATCGAGCGTCTGCACCTAAGGAGTGTTGATCCTACAGTTCAGCATTTCTTTACCGAACATGCTAATTATCTTCCGCACAAAATCAAGAAGATGCTTGACACAGGGATACAAAGCATGCTTAGTGAATTCTCCCTGCTGCTCAGTGCACAGCTGCAAAAGTTGCAAGAGTCCAGCGAAAAATGGATGAAGCTCGCGGAGAATCTTGTGCTTTAGATACATGCCATGGCAGAAAAGCTGAAGATACCTTTGGCGTTGAATCAAGACTGGTCAGGCGTGAACCAAGCAACAATAACTGAACCGAGCCAGGAACCAAAGAGCTGGGGAGACCAACTTCACAGGACCAAGGAGATTGCCCCTAGTGGTTCCCCAGGGAAAGTGGCGACAACATTCAACAAGATCAATTCTTCTTTGTCCAACGGATCAGCAATACCGGAGGTTACAATCCAGGATGTCGAAGATGCCCTTCTTCAAATAGAGATTGCTGCAGCTAAGGAACCCCCATTGCATTCCATCTCATGTTGCTCACCTACTCATGATGCCGGTGGGGAATCTGACTCACTTCTACTCTCCCCAATCTCAACAAATGTTGAGCCCTCTTGTCCTGTGGAGATCGACACAAATGTTGAGCCCTCTTGTCCTCTGGAGATTGATGCATCGTCCCCTGTGCTAACATGCCATCAGCTCGAGGATACAGAACTGGCAAAGGCGACCTTGGAGGGGGCGACGAGGCTCAGGTTGAGGAGGTGTCGTTTTCGCCCGGGTTGCGTGTACACCAGGCGTTCGTGCTTCGGGTCTGAACACCCCCATCGTGGCTTTGGGGCTGCCGCTGGGGCCGAGCCTTGCATGGACATTGGAGGACAGGAACACACTTCGCCACCTTCGCCAGAGGATGCTGGCCAGTCTGCACGTAAGGTAGCGCTGGCAAACTTCATCCAGTCAATAACCAAGTTTGTCCAACAACCCCTGCTTCCTCCACAACATGGACTAATGAAGCCACGGAGGGAAAAGAAGAGGCCGAGCAAGCCGTCCCGGTGCAGTGCGCGTCTAGCAGCCATTGCTTGGCCGCGTGGTGATGCGCAGAGCAAAGCAAGGCAAGTGCTCATGAAGCGGTTGGGCGTCACACAGGAAGAAAGCGAAACTATAGAGATGACCTTGCAGCGCTACCTCAACCTCTTCAAAGGTCCGATGTCCGACCTTATCATCAAGGCGCTGGTGGCACTCAGTGGCCTCGACAGACCAGCCATGTCGAGGCAAATCGTCATGGGAGGATGTCTAGGCGTTTAGCTGTTGTTCACCATGAGAAGCCGGAGCTGCTTTTTGCTGCTTGTGATCAGCTCTGGCAATGAGGACACGTGGTGGGCGTCGTTTGGTTTGGTGTGTTACCTCTGTGTGTTAGTCGTCAGGGCTATCGTGTTCTGGTGCTGTGGGTATTTCATGTGTTCTAATATGTGCCTCTGTAAGGTTTTTAGCCTAGTTTCCCTTATAAACTAGGCCAATTCTATTCTTCTTAATTGAAAGGCAGAGCTCCTGCCATTACTTAAAAAAAAACAATGTGCACGGAAGTGTATTCCTGATGACATTCAGGCATCAGTATTTCACTGAATTTATCATCAAATTATTTAACCCGTCCTATATGTCAGATGTAATTGTCCCAAAAATGATGTTTCGAGTAAGGGCATCATCAGCGGTAAACTGAACCATTATGCGAAGAAGACATAAATTGGCATAATAATCACGCTTGTGTTTAAGCGAAACTGACCTGCTCAGCGACGACGGGGCGTGGAGGGAAGTTGAGTGACGGGTGGCAGTAGGTGTTGTCCAGATAGAGCACATCAATGGTATCCCCGCCGAGCGCGTCCAGTAAAGCCTGCTTCGCCCGCCGCGCTTTATCGCACCCGAGCTCCCACCGGAAGTCCCCCGTGTACAGCATGCATCCGAGGTCTCCGCGGAAGAGGTACATGAGCGATCCTGCGCGGAGGGGCGCGTCAGCCACGGAAACCAGCCGAAGATCAGTGGTTCCGTGCCAATCGTGTAGAGAAAACAGTGAAGCGAGCGAATCAGGAGGGGTGACGACGTGACGTACCGGGGCAGTGGAGCGCGGGGATGGCAGTGACGCGGAGGGAGAGGGACTGGCCGGAGGAGGGAGAGGATAGGGAGATGGAGGCAGAGGCACCTGGGGCGAGCGGGCGGATGAGGGAGGCGTCGATTCCGGGGAAGCGGATGGGGAGGAGGCGCGCCGTGGTCGGGGAGCAGTAGAGCGGGCCATGGCGCCACCCGCCCGCCGCGCCGAGACCACGGGTGTGGTCCTGGTGGAGGTGCGTCAGGAAGTAGGCCTGGCTGCCGCCAGAGAACTTGTCCACCGATACCAGGCCCTCCTCCATGGCTCGCCGCCTTTGCTGGATGCCGATGCGGATGCCTCTCCTAACCTCGCCGTCCCCTCGCTTCGCTCAGCCTGTTCCTGTTGCTGCGCTGCGGGTACGTGGGATCGAGTTTTTAGCGGCCCTTTTGAAAAGGGAAAACAAAAGGGAGGAGGGAAAGCGGCACGAGCGCGCAAATCGAAAAAATTCACTGCACGCGTACTCCCGCTTCCAACACAAGTGCACACTCGCATTTTTAGAGTGAGGCCTGTTTAGCTGGCGAAATTTTTAGGAAATGATACCGTAGTACTTTCGTTGTTATTCGATAATTAGTGTTTAATTATAGTCTAATTAGATTTAAAAGATTTGTCTTGTAAATTTTATCTAAACTGTATAATTAGTTTTATTTTTTATTTATATTTAATGCTTCATTCATGCATCTAAAGATTCGATGTGACGGAAAATCTTGAAAAAATTTTATAAAATTTTAGAAACTAAACAAGCACTTAACTAATCTCAAATTTAACCAAATACTAATATTTATTATAACAAATAAAATTCATTAGAATAATCACGCCACATATTTTTTTAGTAAACAAATTTAAATATACATACTGTTTTTTTATAAATCTAGATAAATTTCATGAAATACGAAATGTGCACTTATTTGAGAAAGAGGGGGTACTGATCTAGAAGCGGCTTATATGGCATTTCTTTTGACAAATTTATTTCTAATAAATTCTTCACAAACCAGTACAAAATACAAACGTGGAGCATGCACGCATAAGCTGATGATTTTAACAGCAAAAAATGTCCAGCTAAGCAATTATTCTATCCAATATCGGAGGAGTAATAAATACAGAAAAGTAGCGGTTCTCCATTAACAAGTATCCAATACAGTAAACAGGCTGAATAGAGCAGATGATACCGTGTAGATAGCTACCATTTGAGAACATAAAGCTCATCACCGGCTCCGCAAAACATCTCACAAGCAAACCACGGGAAGACTCATCTCATAAGCATCTGCAATACAGCTTCTACCCACGGGAAGAGTACATGGTGTCGAGTGTCGACGACATAAACATCTCACAAGCAAACCAACAAAGACTCCGATGATCTAGGACTCCGATATGAAACTCAAACGGGAAGCAGCCAGCTGATCATGATACGCAGTTGATATACAGAACCAAAGATAAACAGCCAGTCCCATCTTCCTGATACACAGGATCACCTCACTACAATACAAGCCTCATGTTTTCCTCGTTCTCCAGCTGCTTGCGGCCATTACCTCAGTTTTCTGCATCCACAGATACAGTGGAATCAGAATCAAGCAAGCAACATATGTCAACAAGTCGATTTCCACACCACAAAAGTTGGATAGCAGGCTGATTATGAGGTTCAAGAAAGCAAAGATTGGCATACGACGAAGTGACTGGTCATGTTTTTGTCAATTGTCAAATAGGGGCACCCAACATGCAAGACATGAGAGCAAATGAATATATGCTCCATCAAACTAGATGAAATAACAAAAGCAAACACAGTGCTAATGCAGCGATACTGTTCTTGCAAAATCGAGTTAAAATATGGCATCATAGAACATCGGCACCAGTATTCTACTCAAACATTTTTTTTCCTCAAAGAATATTCAAAAGGCAACTGCATATGAAATGTGTTTTATCCTCTGATGGAAAACTGCATATGAACAAATAGATGTACACAAGGACCAAAGCATTTTTGTATCTCAAACTATCATCAGTATGTTGCCAACACTCAGAAACCAGTAGGACAATTCTATCCCAAACTAAAGGACCTAGCACATCATACAGTTCAATCGTGTAGGGAAAATATCCCTGTCTTGTTTTTTTTTAATCTTTTGTTACAATTTTCTGCAACCAAGGACAACATGTTAAACTCCCTGTACCTACTGTCACAAGTTGCCCACAAGCTAAGAATAAAAAAATGGTGATGGCAACAGGGTCAACAAACCAATAAGGCCCCTAGTCCAGATCCATTTGTTCCAAACAACTTCAAAGTAAGAAGAATAGCTTGCGTTCTTGAGCTAGCAGACAACAGTAACTATATCCACAGCATGGTTACTTATAAATGAAAAATAAGATGATAAAATGGTATGCTTCAATCAATAATATGTGGATGATCTGTAGTTTGAAGCGGTTTAATGACAATGTTGGTTCTCATTTAATGCAACTAGGGAGAAGTAACAACATGAGAGGATGAAAGTAACAGAGTAGTAACACCAAGGCAATAAGAGAAGTGAGGATGGCATGATAACAGCATGGCAGTAGCAACACGGAGGACCCTTGTCAGGGCATAAGAATAAACAGAAAAAAGGAGGGAGCCGATACCACCATAGAAGTGACACAAATACTCTAGATGCGTAAAGGATTAGAGAGGCGGACAATCAAGATAATTTTTAACCAGCGTTTCAAAGGTGTCGCCTAGGCGTCCAAGCGTACCCAGCTCACCTTGGGAAACAGTGGCGACTTGTCGCCTAGGTGCCGCCTAGGCGTCCAGCGGACCCAGCACTCGCCTGGATGCCTAGCCGCCTTTTAAACACTGTTTTTAACAAGAAAAAAAATATTCTAGATTTCTGAAGTACGTGATGTTTTTAAATGTCTGTGTCCCTAGGCAAAACCTTCCAAAAAAGCAAACACTTTGAAGTGGAAAACCCTCCACGAAGGTGGTAGTGAATAAATTTCTGCTTTAGTGACAACCTTAAATGTGTGACAGATTAGACCTAAGAAAAAGAGAGACTAATTTTAAGCAGGCAGTCTTGAACTAGTTTGATTAAATTGCAAAACAAGCTAAGTAGCTATGTGCAACTTTGGCAAAGCATCTGAGCTACTGGAGTTATTGTCCCATGATGCAAATTTTCCCTATTTATTCAACTGGAAAGCATAGTCTACCATTCTAATTTATGATAAACTTCTACAGTGAGTATTGAACTATTAAAAATTTAAAATAAAATAATGATTTATCAATCAGCCTATACACTCATAAAAAAAGTAACTAGAGATGTAACACGCCCAACTCCTGCCAGCCCTGCCACATGCAACTAATAATATAGCTATTGACATTATAATTCTGTCTGGCAAGGTTCAGTGTTTGCTTAATATCTGCAAAATTGTTGTTCACTTGAATATAAATTTTTTGTGCTTACTCTAAACACGTTAAAATCATATCTGAGCAAATATTTCCTCAATCTTTCAATGTACACTATCCAGCATAACCAACTTAGCACAGCAGCTTTTTATAGCAAAATACACAGGAAAATTGCATTGCATATTCTTGCATTAAACAAGGAATAAAAAAGCAATATCAACAGTGAAGATATGCAGTATGCAGAAGCAGATGTATCTGCACCATACTTTCATGTACACTTGTAGCTCTGCCACTACGATGGTATTGTCCTGGTACAATTCTAAAAGAACCGGCAAACATGTAGCATTAAACAATATCAGTATTCTTAACAGTATACAAGAGCCTGAAGCAAGTTAATTGATTTAACATAAACTAATTTGCCTGGCCAAAAAGATTTATGGGTCTTTAAATAAGCCTGAGGACAGTAGTACCATGAAACACACCACGCTATCAGGCTTGTCGTTGACGCTAGAAATTTTACAAAAGATCAAAGATTAACAAATAACAAAATGACTGAAGGAAATTCCTTACCGAATCAACTATACTGTACTAACATTTGTCTTCCATATCAGAAAGTTCATTACTAAAACGTTGCATAAAACACTTCATTGCAAAATAGTCAATCAGCATTATTATTAAAGTGAAAACATAGAGTTATAAGAAAAGGAAAGAGGCAGACCTTTCTGCACCTCAGGGGCATCGTGATAAACAGGTTCGTCCTCTGGTACAGTGTGCAACTCATCTGTCGCCCCTGCTGCATCTCCACCGGCACCTGCAGCATCATCAGGATAGCGAACAACCACAACGGGGCATACACAGTGGTGTACGCAGTAATCACTAACACTCCCAAGCCTCCCCTTGCCGCCTTTCCGGGATGCCCCGAAACCGCGGCTCCCCATGATCATAGCGGAGAGGCCAAGGCGCTCAGCCTCGAGGCAGAGGCGCTCCTTCATGTCGTGGTCTTTAACGACGTGGATCTTGAAGGGGATCTGGGCGTCGACCAGCGGCTGCGCGAGGTCCTGCGCCTTGGTGGAGGTGAAGGCGTCGTAGTCCTCCTCCCGCTTCTTCTGCAGCTCCTCCTCGGAGGGGCCGCCCTCGACGGCGGCGGCGGCAGCGTCCTCGGCGGCGTCGGCCTCATCAGCGACGGAGACCGGGATGGAGCCCCAGTCGGCGCCGTAGAGGACGGAGGTGGGGCGCACGTGCAGCAGCACGACGGCGTCCCCGGGGCGGAGGTAGTTCTGCACGGCCCACTTGACGGCGAAGGCGGACTCGTCGGAGAGATCGACGGCGATGGCGATGCGGCGGTGCGGGGAGGCCGGGTTGGTCCCGGCCAGCGAGGAGAAGAAGAAGCGCGGGGAGGAGGGCTGGATCGCGGCCGCCTGCGCCGCCGCCGAGAGCCGCACCGCCGCCGGGGCCGCGGGGGCGTCGGCGCCGGTGGAGGGGTTGGCCGCCATGGGGGTGGGTGAGTGGGTGGGAGGTGAGTCGTCGGAGGAACGGCGCGCTAGGGTTCTACCGCGTATACTCTGATGATGAACAAGTGCTTGTTGTTTTTTTGGAAATTTTCGGTGGCGATTTGATCCGGGATGGAGGCAAGGGGGGAGAGGGTTTTGGTTCAAATGGAATGGGCGAGACCGAGAGCGAGAAGCGAGAGCAGCGTAGTGCGGGTGCTCCGAACCTTTGCAACAGCGAGGCTGATTTGGGGAAGAATGACTTGTTGTACACGTAGCAGTCTAGTGGTGCCCCACCGTCTGCTCCTTTTGTTTCGCTTTTTCTAATTCTAAATTCTAATTTTTTATTTGTAGCCTGTCCATCCGTGCGATGATTTTCAGTTGCCGCCTAACCAAAAGTCCAAAACCACGCCTGAGGACCGGTAATTGCTGCTCTGTTCGCTTGACTGATAACCTATGCTAAAAAATATTATTACGTTCGTTGGCTAAAAAAAATACGACTTATAAACAAAACGAAATGTTGGTTCATCTTTCATCGAGTGCCGAGCGCACGACTTCGGCAAGAATCAGCATGATTCCTTTAGAATTTCCCTGCTAGGGATACCTTCTGCTTGACAGCACGCTGGCAGCTGGTTAACTCTTTTTTTTTTTGAGAAACTGGCAGCTGGTTAACTGTTCTTGTCTTGGTCGTATTTGTTTTATAAGCCGCTTATCGGTCAATCAACAATATTTTTTTTTTCACACCAATTAACCAACAAGATCTTTTCAATTGGCGGGCTTATAAAAACCAATCATTTAAAACGAACCGACGCTTAGCTTTCCTTGCTGATAGTTTTCCTGGCGGGCGGTGGCGGTCCAGCCCAGGATCAAATGATATATGGCCCGTTCTGGTCAATGCGCATAGGCCAATCCTGAGCGCACGACGTGGTTCTTAACCAAAGGTCGGCGTGGAAACGCATTGCCACATGGCCGCCCCCATTCGTTCGCCGCCGGTCCATAAGCGTGAGTACTGTAGACTGCCTCGAATGAAGAGGACTATTGACTCCCGACTCAACGAGACAATCCCGTCGACGGCGGTCCACAGTAACCGTTGGAGGCGGAGGAGACGTCGGCGTCACGTCCCGGTCACCCGGCGAACTGCCGTCTCCGCCCGCGCTCGCCTTAATTATCCGCTCGCGTCGTAACAAAATCTCGCGTCATGTACGGCGCACCAAACTGGCAGGGAATGAATGGGGTGACGTGCGTGCGACGCGCGGGCGGTTGCAGCACTTGGTGCCGACGTCCCGTCCGGCTTTCTTCGATGAGGTTGACGATGATTCCGATCGTCTCTTTCCTTGCGAGTTCCGCCGTCCGGATATTCCTCCTGAATGTCCAAGGATTTTTCCTCGCAAATACTCCTAGTTAGCAGAATATATACGATCAGGAGAGCGATATATAGCAACGTGGCATACTGGCATGGCATCGGCTGCCTACCAGCATCAGCATCACTTGGTGGAAACAGACGCGCGCGCGCGCGCGGAGCATGACGAGGGGACGACCATTCCTGATTTTCGTGTCGTGCGTGGTATCGCTCCATCCATCTGTATTAGCTGACCACTCTCGGTCATGGCTTGATAGTCTATAGTGTGCCTTGGTCAAGGCGGCAATAGTACGTCGGTTGGCCGGGATTCGCGGAACCCAGCACAAAAGGCCCTTCGCATTCTCTTTTTACCGGTTTACCCCGTGGATTCTGGATTGTGATCAGAATCTGCTCAAACTTTGGCATGGCATAAGCATACACGTCGCATGAAACATTTCCTAAACCTCCCAAAGAGCGAGACAATTCTTCTAGCCGCATCCATGCCGTTGGGCTACTGGTGATGGGAAACAATGCGATTTCCGTGTGCCAATGCGCCGTGACTCATGTTGTCCGATCCTACTCTACCGCTATATACAAACACGGTGCCCAAGTCCAACTACCTTCGCTTGGATGCCCACTCGTTCGTGCACTTGCCTAACAGTAGGCAGCATCTGCTATGTCTTTCCCTAAAGCACAAAATGCTTTCAGCCCACAATAATAGGTCTTCTTAGAAAAAGCATAAGATATATTCATACTGGCCTGTTGGACCACTGTTTGCGCGCTTTATGCTTCGTGCATCTCTCTCCCTTCTCCACGCCATCGATATATGATGATGACGCGATATATGATGATGACGTAGGGCCTGTTCGCTGGTTGGTGCTGGTGCTGGTTTAGGCTAGCTGGTGCTGATTTTTTTGAGAGAAAAACACTGTTGGCTGGCTAGTTTGGGCTGGCTGAAACCAACAAACGAACAGACTGATAGCCTTTTCGTCCCAACTTAGACCAGAACGTACTGAGAAAGCTACTAGACCATTTTCTCCCAAAAGAAGCTAAATATGTATTAGATGTTGGAATGATCTCCCAACCAATAAGCTCAACGGTCTATTGGGCCTTGGTCACACGTCCTGATCAGGGCGCCCAATTCTACATGGTTGGTGGGCCTCCGTCGCACTGCGCTATATAAAGTGGGGGGCCAACGGCTCATAGTACGAGGTTCGCCGTGAGCCACTCCGCCCCACCAACAAACCCTAAGTCCGATCTCAACAGGGTGCGCAGCCAGCGATGAAAAGCCGCCACCGTCATCACCGTCGGCCTCTCTGCACCGCCACTGCATCGCCGGACTTCACCAACTCTTCTCCGACCATCGCTGCCCGTGCGCAGAGCTTCACCGACCGAACGAGATGGCCGGATCCTCCTCGACGGCGCCCTCCGATGGTCTGTACACTCCCATCCACTCTCCTCTCTCTATCACTCTGTAGTACGGTTCATTAAGATTTCTACTTGTTCATCCCAAATACAAAGAACCACCCGACTAGATGCTACTCTAGGTGATCTTTGGGATTTAACAATGGTATCAGATGCCTGTCTAGTTCGTAGATCTAGATCGGGGACAGGAAAAGAAAAGAGAGAAAGATTGACCGATCCGGATCAGATCGGGAAAGAACAGACCGCAACCCTAACCCTAACTGTGATCCCGAATCACCTGCCTGGGGATCCCCTGCGCCGTCACCACCGCCTGCCGTCGCACTGGACGCCGCGCGGGATGAGACCGCCGTCGCGCGGGAAAGGGCACCGTCGCCAGGCTACTCGGCAGCGGCCCGCTTAGCCACGGGCGAGCGCGCGCCGACGAAAAGCCCAACGGCGGCGCCGGCTTTGCACCTCCAATCCGCCATCATGGACGGCTGCTGCTCCTTCCATGGCTGGACCGCGAGCGGCGCTGTGAGAGAAAGGGCAAAGGCGAATTGGTGTTTCGGGTTTCAGGGGTGCGGCGACCGGGGCGTTTTGGTTCGCCCGACTCGCGCGGACGACCGTCGGATCGCATCCGGCGGATGGCAGGCACCCAGGGCGGATTAGGCCCAGGCGGGTGGACAGAATCTCAGCCCAGGCCCACGTTAAGGCCTGGGTGCGGGGGAGCCGCACGCGCGCTATTTGGGCCGCAAAGGAACTGGGCCGCGAGCGCAGCAGCGCAGGCCGCGTTTGGCAAACTGGCTGCGGGCCGCGCCATGCATCGGGCCGAAATGGCCAAATAAATAGTACAGTCACAATTTTTTATTTTTTTATTTTTCAGAAAACAATTTGATGCATATTAGATGAATTTGAATTGCATTTTGATGCAAATCTCTGTATAATTTTGTCCAACGATAATTTCGTTCGGAGAACAGTATAGTATTTTAAGAGTTTCTGGAAAATAGAATTATGAGATTTAGTAATGTTTCCACTGCGTATTTAAAGTTGTTATGGTCTTTTAATTAAATTCGAATCAACGGGAGAATTTGATTTTAAGAGCCAAGAGATAAATTTAAGTTGATTATGATATTGTTATTTTCTGACCAACGTTGTTAATAGCAATATTATAATTTTAATGATTATACATTATTTCTATTTCTGCCCAACGGTGATGTAGATTTAATGTATAAAACAGTTGTATATTTTAATTTTGACCGACGTTGAAACTAAGGCATGCAAATTGTTGTTTTTATTTTATGTTCTCACTTTAAAGAGATTGTGTTTTCAGGAGGATACTCCTTGATGGCTTATATCAAAGATATCCCAACTCTCAAAGGGGATAACTACATTGAATGAAAGAAAAAGATCGACTTGGCATTCATCTTGGCTGAGGTTGACTGGGTAGTCACCACACCGTGTCCTAAAAAACCCGTGGCACCGGTGAGGGTGACTGATGAGACTGATGCTGCATGGCAGAACAGAGAGCGAGACTTTGCTCCCGTAAAGATGTCTTTTGACCTCGAACATAGAAAGTGGGTCACAGCCAATAAGAAATGTTTGGCTGTGATAAAGAATACAATTGAGCCTGCAATAGTGGGCTCAATTCCAGACTGTGACACGGTCACAGAGTACCTAGAAAGAATAAAGAGTCAGTTCACTGACTCTTCAAAGACATGCAACCCAGCTGATTAAGCAGCTGGTGACAGAAATATACTCTTGGTGGCGGCAGTGGCATTAGAGAGCACATACTGAGAATGAGCAATTTGGCATCTAAGCTCAAACCAATGGATTTGGCTCTCAAGGATAAGTTTCTTATTCATTTGATTTTTGCTTCTTTGCCAAAAGAATTTGGCACTTTTGTTGTTAATTACAACATACAGCCCAAGAAATGGGATTTAGAAAAGCTCATAGCCATGTGTGTGCAGGAGGAGAAAAGAATAAAAGTTTCACAGGGTGATACTATCAACTACCTAAAAGATAATAAGAAAAAGAACTATAGTAACAGCTTTTCCTCCAAGTCACCTGGAAAGGGTCCCATGCAACAGTCTCAGAACAAGCAAATCCCAGTGGATAAAGATCAATGTCTTCATTGTAAGGGCAGGGGACATTACAAGCAAAATTGTCCCGATTTCCTAAAGATGATTATGAAAAAGAAAGGTGAGAACATTATTACGTTCGTAAATGAATCCTTGTATGTCAAGTTTTCAAAATCTACTTGGTG